TTGGGATTATATTGGGATAATGGGGAAGAAAATGGAAACTACTGTAGTATACTGGAGTTATTCTGGGAATCATGCCAGGCGTTCTTGTCGCCACTCCGGGGATCAAGCTGCCCTGCAGTAACAGCTCGGTGGTCACTTGTGCATGCAAGTACGTGGATTTGGTAGTTTCCCAAAATGGGGGGACCCCAATGGAGGCCCTAATATATTACAAGCCTTAGGATGGGAACCCCTAAAATCGTACCCCTAATTTTGGGAAACCTCCATTTCTGTCTCAGAATCTTGGACCTGCACACTCAACCTCATCTAGTTTACGCTGGACACTACGCAACTCTACAGACAAGGAATTTACCGACAAGGCAGGTCAGGGAAGTGGCTATAGTCACAGTGTCTGTTGCTGCAAAGAAAAAGAGCTGGATTTTGGAGATTTCTCCTTTTTTGCGAAGGTTGTGGCCTTTTTGGTGATGGAATGGCGGAGGGGGGGAGGGCTGTTGGGCGATGGAAAAGGCGGCAAAGTGGTGTTTTGAGTGGACTCAGAACAATATGTTGAAAAAATGCTTGAAAAAACAAGGCTGCATGCGGGAAGCTTGCAGCCTGGCATGAGGAGTGACAGAAGTGCCAAGAGCTGGTTACGGCTACCAAAACGTTCTTCAATCGAACAGTCAACTAGGTTTTATGGCGCGTTGCCACTCTTGGCTTATCTACAACCTCTGCAGCGCATGACACAGCATTCAGCTAAAAGCCATTCAAATCACGGTTGACAGAAAACAAACCCACGGCCACCTGTCGTTGACGTGGCAGCATCCTGCATGCACTCTGCAGATTTCCTCTGTTCAAGTGAAATTGCTGGCTCCATGTGTGAGGTTCGTCTGCGCTTTGTGTGCTCGTATTTCTTGGAAGTGTTTCATGCTCTGTAATTAATTGGGTTTTCTGCTGCTTTGGGTTCCTGCCATCTGCATTCGGGAAAATGGAATTCCATCCTACAAGGACTTTCAATACAGACCTTCTCAGGGTGCGCTGGATCTTTGTTTCCGAGGTCGACGTGCACATAGTAGTGCAGAAGTGGTACCATTACAAGGTTGCCAAGTTCCTTCTTACAGCAGCCGGTTATAGTATATTATAGTAAATTATAGTATATTATAGTACATTATAGTATGCTATAGTATATGATAGTATCTTATAGTATATTATTATATATGATAATACAATATAATATATTATAATATGTTATAGCATATGTACATTAGAGTATTTTATGCCATTCCATCCTCGGCAGGTTTGCACAGGCGCTGGCGCAATCGCTTTGGTGGCGCACGGAGCCTGTCATATTGGAACCCTAGCGCTACCAGGATTAGGGTAGGACTGGGGGCTAGTGGCCAAGAAGGTTACAGGTTTCGGGGTCATGCTGCAGGCCTTTCATCCTGTTGCTTTGCGAACAGGCGCTATCATTCAACCAGCCTAATGAATCTGCCAATGGCGTGGTGAATTGCATCCCACACTGACGCACCCTGCTACTTTGCACTCACATATGCACAAAACAACCATGTCCTGCCAAAATTCGGAGTCCGCTGTTAGCTGGCATTCAGCCTGCTGGCCTGGGATTTTCCATGTTGCAGAAACCGACGTTGCTGGCCCCATCGCCCTGCAAGCAGGAAACAGCAAACTAAATCCCGCGCATGAGCAGGAAGATCCCAGGATCATAGCAGCGAGTCAACTGAGAGGCGTCAGGAAGCCCTTGCGCACCTCCTTTGGTGCAGTGCGATCAAACATGGCTCAGCAGGCATCAGCTGTAAACACACAGATCATGCTGAACGACATGGAAAGCATCGGTTTTCGAGTCACTGCTTGCACGCTGCCAGACATCTTGTATCAAAGCTTTCGTCTGCAGGGCCACAAGGCCATCCTTAACATCGCAATCTTGCAGACAAGAAGGGACCAGGCTAAACCCAGCAGTTCTGAGGGTCTCTGGGTGATGTGGATCTTGGCCTCAACCAAGGCTGAACCTCTCAGCTGCTTCTGGATTTAGGGGCTGGATCGCATGGGACGGATGTGCAAGCTCCATCTGTGTCACAGACCACTGCTAATTGTTTTGAGTAAAGACGCAGCTGCAGCACCGCATGAATGTGACGTTTGAAATGCTCCTTTCCCTGAACCCCAACTGCGCATTGATTCTGACAACAGCCAATAACAGAATGTCGGTAACGCCAAGCTACCTGTCTCCCATGAATGAGCCTCCCAACCCTGGCCTAGAAATTTCCAGCTAAGTGAGCGCTTGCTGCCCAGCTTGCAACAGTGGCTTTTTGTGGCCTCCAGCTGTTGCATCTGCTGTGCTTTGAGCAGGTCATCCGTCACATCTGTGGCTAATCCATCGCATGGAGGTCTATTCCTGCAGCATCAGAAGAAGCAAACGTGTCCTTGCTTGCAGTAAGAGGGCTTGTTAATCATCCTAAAAGTCCGAGGTGTCTGCAGAAAACTGTGCCAGGTTTTCAGGCTTCAGCTCTGCGATTCAACTGTCCCAGAAGCAGACATGAAGTCAGAGGTTGCGATGGTCTGCGAGGAGAGAGCTGTCATGATTTCCAACTCGGAAGAAGCAGCAATTTTTGTTGGCTCATGACAAGGAAGTGCTCAAAGTTAGGATTGCGTGTCTGTGTTTGCAGAAGGACTCTGAAAACGCATACTTTGCCAAGGGGGCCTACTAGCTGCTTTGTCTCTCTCATTTGCAGGGGGGGGGGGGGAACTCCACTAAAAGGCCAATTGCGGTG